TTAACAAATTAATTTTAAAAAATAAAATTAAATAAAAAACTCGAATAAAATACACTGATTAATTTACCAAACCAACTATTTAAATCATAAAATTAAAACAACCTAGTATAAAATAATTAAGCTAAGGGGGTGAAATTTTTAAAATCAAATAAAAATATAATAAAAAATCTCAAGTCAACTTAAAATAAAATATTAAAACCGCAACTAATATCACAGAACCTGAATAATCTTATAAAAAAACAAAATAAATTATAAAAGTTAATTTATAATAAATAAAATATTAAATTTAAAATTAAAATAAAAATACAAAATAATATTATAGTGAACAATATTCTATAAAAAGACAAGCAATAAATTTGTTTTATAAAAATAAAATAAAAATAAAAATTTTAAGAAATATTGAATTAAAAAAGAGTATTGTTCCTGTCAACAGAGCTAAACAATGAATTTGTTTTTTTTAGTTTTTTAATAATTTTTGTTTCATTTGAATAGGATTGAAAAAATTCATTTTTTTGTTTATTATTTTATTAATTTATATAGTTATTATAAAGCATATAAAATACAATATAATTATTTAATCTTCATTTTTAATTAAATATTAATTTATAAATAAAAAATTCTTTAAGTTTTTAATGTATAAGTAATTATCAATATAATATTATATTACAAACCTGTAAAAATCAATCAAAATTTAAAATTGTATTTTATAATTAAATTAAATTTTAACATGTAATTATAACTACAGGAGCGACCAAAAAAATTAAAAAACTAATTAAACTGAAAAAACTGGAAAAAAATAATTAAAAAAACTAATAAAACGGATTAAAATTTTGAAAAAATCAACCGGTTTGGTTTTATAAATCTAAAACTGAAAAAAAAAACCAAACCCAAACCAAAAAAATCAGAAATAAACTGAAAAAACCGAGCTAAACCAAAAAACCTAACCAAACTGGTTTAAATTGGTTTTTATCCTAAAAAATCAAACCCTGTATAATTGAAATTGGTTAGTTTAAACTAATTTTAGTTTGGTTTTATTTTTTTAATTTTAATTTAATTATTTTTTATTTATAAAAATCAAATTAAACTAAAAATGATCACCTTTACTATACATGACAATTATTAATTAATATCATGTGAGCATCTTTTCATATTATATAATATATTTTTATTGAAATGCATAATAAGAGTTATTTAACAAATAATAATCGCACTCGCACATATATAATATTGCTAATTAATATAAATTACTAATGAAATTTTAAAAAATAATATATGTTTTTAAACATGATTTTAAAATAAGATCATTAAATACATAAAATTCTTTACATGAATTTATTAAAATATAATTTCATGACATGTTATAAAATACTAAATGAATCTCCTTCCAGTTCAATTCGACCATATTGTTATGAAGGTTTACTGTACTGCGGTTTGAATTAAAAATATTTTTAATATAAAAATATAAAAATATAGTTTAATTTTAAAATAATTAAATATTTTTATTTTAATATTAAAATACTTAATATATTAAATCAACTTAAATTTTACTATTTAGCCTATTAAATTTATAATTTGGTTACCGAATGCACTAAGTTTAAAAAATTGTTTTCCCAGCTATTTTTATTTCATTTATATGATAATAAAAATAATTTTTTATAAAATGAAGTACAAATTAAATATTAGAATATTTGTTTAAAACTATGATAATTTTAAAAAATAAACAAATAAAATTATAAAAATAAAATAAATATCAAAGAATAATTTTTTAAAAAAAGGAAAAAACGGAAAAAAAAACCTCATTCAGTGTTCCCATGAACAATAAAAGAGAATTGTTATCACACGAACTTTTTTAAATATACTAGATAATGTTACACGTACATGATTACATTAAGAAAAATAAGGAAAGAAACTTGCAAGGCTACCCACGTGCCACCCGTACTTATCCCTTGCATGAATAAACGAGGGCTGCTGATAAACGACAGTGATCGCTGAATTTTTTATTTTTTTTATTTATATGGGGTGTCCGGACAAGTTTACGTGCATTACGACTAATCCTCATGGTTCACTGAACATCCTACAAGCCCAATAAACAAATAAGATATCGCAGGGGTGACAAGCATACACGATAAAGCTCGAACCCAGACACAGAAAAAAGGAACAAACCCTCTCATCGCTGGGCTATTACCTAGTGATTGCTGAATTTTTTTTTTAGATTAACATGGGTGTTCGGGCCAGTTTGCACGCACCACAACTAATCCCACGGGTCCTGAAGTTAACGACCATGTAAGCCTCCAGTGACCATCATATGAGCAATTAAGAATTCAAATCTGAGATTATAAAAAAAACAAACCCCTTAATTCCAAGTTATTACCACTTGACTAACTACTAGATATTTATAATCGCTGAATTTTAATACCATTAGTCGAAGACAAGGACTCCGCCTCGACTGATGTTCATTCTAGGTTGTTAGTCTTCACAGTGGGGTGTGCGTGGGCTCTGTGTCTGCCCAGTGTGGCCATCGTACGTGTCGGAGTGTTGAAGATTGAAACCAGCAACGTGCATGAGTTTCCACGGGATCAACACTTGTTCCAATTAGAAAATTTACTATAAGGCTTTTCACAGCAACAATCCACATTTTTTTTTATTTTAAATTTTATTCCCAATTTCCTTTTCAATCACAAACTTTTATGACCAAATTAATAATCAATTTCTGAAATTTAAAGAAAGAAAAAATTCAACAAAGCGATAAAAGTGTAAAACAAAGTGAAATTTTATTTTAAGTCCTAACAAATTTTGTTTATTATTTAGTGTAGAGGTGAGAGGAAGAGAAAAGACAGAAAATCGACAAGTAACTATGATTGTCGTTTCAATTCAACAAAGGCTCATGTTTCTTCAATCTCGAACTACAACTTAAGGATCAGCAAGGACACTGTTCTTGGAATTCTCCACTTCTTTACATAGCATCTTCCTTACATCACGTTTATTTCTCTTTGCTTCTTCTCTTTACCAGAGAAATTAACTCAAGGTAGACAGACAATTGTGAACTGACTGCTTATACTTTTTATATTGGCTGTTTCTTTTTATATTTTTAAAATATTTTTAATTTAATTTAATTTTTTTAAATTGATATTTTTTAATATTTCTAAATCATTTACTGATATTAAAAATAAAAAATATTATTTTAATATATTTTTAAATAAAAATATTAAAAAAAAACTATAATTACACTTCCTTAATTGACTATTCCACTACCCTCCTTTGTAAAAATACAATTAATGGCTCTTTTGCCGGATGTTCCTTTTTGTGATTCCTTTTGATTGTATTCGTTTTATTTATAATCTTCGAAGCTTTCGTTTACGGCATTCACTCCAAAGATTTCCAGGCAACCGTGAATAAGCTCAATTGTACTTACATCACGAGGTACGAGGTAAGTGATCATGATTCAACCGTTTATTCATATCGATTTAATATATTATTTTTTAAACAATATCAAATCAAAGCTATAAAAAAATATAAAAAATTAAAAGATTTAAAAATTCAAGGGTTTAATCAAATTTAACGATGTTATTAAGAAGTTACAAGTGAACTGAGCATTTATTTTTTAATGTTGAATAGCGCTAGCATTTTCTAGTCCAGTTTTATTTTGCATGATACGAGAATTTGAGAATGATATACAATTATAAGACCCCAATTATCTAATACTATTTTCATTTTATTTCACATTAACATTAATTCAGCCCCTCATTTCCCACCAAGAAATAAAAAAAAAAGATGATAAGAATAATATATCTCAGCTCTTTAACATACCTATAATTATTAATTAAAACATCCACCAAGTTAAGAACCAGTGAATATGTAATGACGTAACCGAGGGCTGAGACAAGGGGAGCCCGGGTTCCTGAGAAAATATAGATTTTTCTAGGGATTTATATGTATTTTACATTTGGAACTCTTAAAAAAAAAAAAACATAAAATTTAAATCTTGACTCCTCGCTCCGCCGTAATAACAAGAATCTGGAAAGCTCGTAGAAATCACCAAGGAAAGTGGAAGGAAACATCTTGATTCTAGACTGGACAGCTAGACTGGAAAGGGCCTGGGGACTGTGGGCTAGCAAGTGGACTGCTCCTTCGCGTGATGTTTCCGAACTCAGAGGTTGAATTACTAGACTAGGCCTATAACTTAGCTTGGGCTCGATGGTTGTTTAAAGCAATTTAAGACCGCACAAATCATCTACACACACACACACACAGAGACACACAGACACACACACCTGGAGGTGTTCCTCAGGAATAAATCATGAGAGACACACAGACGCACACAGATCTGGAGGTGTTCCTCAGGAATAAATCATGATTATAATTTATTAAATTATAAGGCTCATGAGTTGTTAAAATCAGATACACTATATCACTTTCTTCAGGCCAATAGTTAGTATATCTCTTATACAAGGAGCTTGGAGATTAAAGAGATCGAGAGCTTACTTTAAAGTAATAGTCTTTAATAGTTTCTTATATATATAGTTTTAAACTGCTTTGCTTTGAATTAAAGCAAGCATGACTGCTTTTAAAAAAGAAAAGTGGTTTTATTGTGGGTATTTTTCAGTTCAATTACCGTTTTTAAAAAACACGACCATTGTTTTACTAATACTATTATTTTATAATACCAAGCAAATCCCAAGCCATTCGCATGCATTTCTATATTTAAAGGCTTGCTTTTCTTATGTCCTTATAGGTTGAGTTTGCCTCTAGCTATCGACAAAATAAAATGAAGAATTTGTACTATTAAGATATAAACATATATTAATGCAATCGGAATTGTGTTCAAGTTAGTGAATTTGAGAATATAATAAATTATAATAGTTTCTTTAAGATAATATCTTAATTAAATATAAGATCACAGAGATCATCCAAAAGATTCTACAAAAATATTTTTTACACCGAAAATTTCCTTAATTACTATTTACATAAATTCGCGTCAAATCTTAATTCTAGACCTGGGGTCATGGACTGTCAAATTGAAGTTCGAAAAGTGACTGAAATCCATCATCATGGTCAATTAACAAGTAGAGAATAAAAGATAAAGATAAAGAAGGAACGATCATCATAGCTAACAAACCAAAAGAACATAATGATATTAGTAAAAATGGGAGGCACATTTTTTATGGAACACTAACTCTTTGGTGGACCATTAGCTATTAATTATCTAGATGGTGACTAAGTGGTAAGAATTTAAAATTAAATAATTTATTTTTTTTGTGGTTTAAGGTTTGAGTCCTTGGTTGCTTATATAATGACAATTGGAGGTTTACATGATTGTTAATTTCAAGACCCGTAAAATTAGTCGTAATACGTAGAAACTAATCTGAACATCCATATTAATCTAAAAAAAAACCTAGCTATTGTTCTGCAGAGGGGCCGATGGGGGAAAGAGATCG